AGGAAGTGGAGCAGTGCAATAAGAGAGAACAGGTCTTGTGTTTTTGGGGGTGTGGATTTTTTAGTTGGTGTTGGTGTTGGTGTTGGACTGGATCCAGTGGAGTTGGTGATGATGGAGGTGGGCATGGAACTGCCTGTGAGTGGGGAGGCACAGTGTCCGTCGCTTTTACTAGGCCTATCTCTCGCTGCAACTCTGAATGGTGTGTGGTTTGTAGTGGCGACCGTGGAAAAGAACAGCCAGTGGTTGTCGCAGCTGAACTCGATCTGATAGCGGTACGAATCTGGTAAGTCTCTACTGTGCGAGTTCCGAGGAAATCTTCTGGTCTGTGCTTCAACCCATGGCGCCATGCCCTCTCTCCCTCACCACCTTCAGATCAACCCTAGGCCAAATTCAAAGATACGCTGTTAGATCCACTACCCTCAAACACTGCAGCTTCACCCCTCAACCTTATCCACTCCCCCTCGTCCAAAATCTCCAGTCAGTACCGGCCACCGTCCACCGTCCACCGTCACCAAAATACAACACACACAAATCTGATCCGTTTTCGCTCAACCTGACCGAGGTTTCGTTGTCCCCAGCAGAAAAGACGGCTCATTGCCAGCACAACAAGTCAATAAACCGCGCAGTTATCTCGAATTTGCCTTGCAACTGAAAACATAATGCCGTCAGGTACCTGTCCACCAACTTAGGTATCTATGGCCTACGTAGTAGACATCGCCGTCTCTTCTCGACAAGCCAAGCCATCCAGATACAGAAGGGGTGTGGATTCCTTACCCACACTCCCCTGAACGCCGCCTTTCTCACTCTTTCTGTGACGGTGATGTCTGTTTCTGCTGGACTACGGAGTGGACCGGCCGCCTTCAAGGATTCGGCCCCTGCTCGCTCCTCCATCCGCTCCGTTGCTCGCTCTCTTGCACACGTCGTCTGTTGCCGTCGCCGTCGCCGCTGGCGTGGTCATCTCTCTCGACAAAATTATAGATGAGGTTATCTCGAAACGCATCTTGGCTTGGCTCATCATTCGATGCAATTTCTCGACATCAAACCACCACTAGTCAGAAGCGAGGCATTCCCTAGGCATGACCGACGAGGATTCTCTCAAGCGAGCCAGCACTGAGCATCTCCTGTCCTTGTCCGAAATGTCTTGGCAACGCTTGGGCTGGCCAGGATGGCTTTGGGCTTGACGATTTACAGTGTCCTCTGCAGCGCTGCAGAAAGAGTAACACCAATGGGTGCTTGACATTGGGTGAAAAATACCCGGTTTGCTCATTGGAGCCCCTGGTGCAATATGACTGGACGGAGACATTCTACCAAAATGCGATGATTCCCTCGGATAAGCCTTCTATGGTCGAAGTCAATTCATTGTTGTGCTAAGCTCACCACGTCCTGAGAATACCGTGAGGTGTATGGTTTATATTTATAAATGACTGCATTATTATCCGAAGACTTAGGCAATTGGCCTACAGCTCCAAAAGATTTGATTGGAGTCTACAAGACTCCATGATTGCATCTCGTGAGAGTTCACACGCATTGGACGGAGAGCTCAAAGTTAAACCTTGGAGGTCCTGAACTGTCTTGTGTAGCTGACGCAATGGAGACAGCCAGGGAACTCGAACAGACAAGACAAGCAAGGCTCAAGCGAAACGATTGCGGGTCAAAGTGCGGGAGGCGGTGATGCTGGAGGAGAAGTGGGCACTAAGAGATACCTGAGCTACCCATATCGCAGGCTTCTGATTCGTACTGTAAGACTGTGCCATTGAAGACGCTGCGGGCGTCTTCAGAGCCCAAACACATCACAGACGGTGCCCAAGCATACTGTACAGACACTGCCCTCAAACCGTATCTGAGAAAGTATTGCTGCTGTCAGTGGGGCAGCGTTTCGCTGGGGACGGGAACTTAAGTTTACGGTACCTTACCTTCCCAGGCCATGATGCATCACTCCAGCTGTCAGAGCCTTGGAAATATCCATGATTCTGTGGGAATTTCCAGGCGATTCCTCGAGCACATCACTGGGGCTACTGTAATTGCTTCACCTGTACAGTTCATCAGCGATTGATCTGGATCATTATGAACCCCGGAAGCGCAGTCTCAAACTCAATTTACTCAACTTCAGGCGAAGAGAGTGATAAGATAACATCAGGCACAACGAATGGACGACAGGATAAGCAATTGCCATCGAGCCAATGGTAGTTTACCATTTTCAACTTCCATGTGTCTGCGATTTCCCAACTCATCAGATTCGTTCGCGTTGGGGTTTGGTGGCTTGGCTAGGCCTTGAGATGTCTTTGGCTGGACCCATTTCGCTGGGGCACCAGTTTTGCTCCCCTGTCCCAGCCCGATAAGATCCGCGTCTCTGAATGCAGGTTTTTTTTTTTTTTTTTCGCTCTTCTTTCATTGCTTTTTGTCTCTGGCGCACCTGAGATCAAACTTGGGGCATCCTGGCTTAGTCATGTCTTGCCCTCTGCTCTAATAACCAACAGATTGGAATTCAAAAAGCCTCGTTTCAGAGATTCAACGGAAGTTGTCCATGCCGCAACAAAAGCGCGCTGGTGGTCTTTCTACGCCGCCCTAAACGCCGCTGTCTGCGTCATGGCTGCAGAACCGAAGTTAATCTGATACAGGACCCTCTGCCTGCAAGGATACGACGTCTGGTCTTGATAATATTCTTTTTTATTCGTACCGTTCATACATAGATGTCTGGTGCTTCCAAAGTGAGGTTCTACGAAAACGGGTGGTGCTCGCGTGCCAGTTGAGGTCTCAGTTGCAAACGGTCAGCCTTGAAACGCAGCGACCCTGAACGGTTCGATGTTTTGTGAGACTCGATTCTCAAGCGAGTCACAAATACGTCCTCATTACGAGTCGATAGATATGGATTGTTGTACATAATTGTGATACGTTGCACAGCAGTTCAATGACATGTGGTTGCCAAGATCAACAGTATGGTCGGAGATAGACTTCACTCAGAGTGTCTTGCACCCTGGCACCACGACTAACTAGCCAGTTCGCTGTGTCGATCAGAGTCGGCAATTCTTGGCTGCCCCTTTTTTATTTCCAACCTCCGGGCTTAGGGTCCGTCGTTTGATTCATGCTTGGCTTGGCCAGCTACGCCTCGTATGTCTGAATCACATGCATTCCAGGTGCAGATGTATCGGTGAAGAATGCATAATAGTTCGTTCATTCATACTCGACATGATGAATTCATGTTTATGTTTGAGGCTCTATTGTTGAAATTATTGGTAAATGACTCGCCACGATGGCTACTCCATTTATCGGTTTCACTCCCGTACCAACACGCTGTATCATACCCTGTTGCCGTATTTTAGCGTCTTGATTATTTTTGTCTGCACTTTGCTGTACAGGCTGGATGTAGGTATCTGCATGCAGCTACACAAGACCGGCATCCGGCCCCCGCCGGTCGTTGCTCCGTGTTGGCGGACGTTCCTTCCATTGATCCTAGCCCCAGAAGATAGACGACGTAAAAGATTACCAGTGTAGTGACAATGCTACTGTAGTGTTCCTGAATGGTTCATCATCATAACACAATGCTATCGTTAATGGTTGACCTAAGTTTGGTGGGCACTTCAGGGTAGCATCCAGCAATTGACTCCCGTCCCGGCAGGCAGGCAGTTGATGTCCGCCCGTTCCATCCCACCTTACCTTCCTCTCCTCTCCTTCTTCAACTGCGTACCTGACCAACTTGGGTAGCTGCATCTTCCCCGCCACACTACGGAAGTCTGCATCCACTCTCTGATCCTCGTCATCCCAATATGGAACTGATTCTTCTTGTTCAAGCTTAACCTCCAAATCTCGAACGTCAGGCATCTTCACGATACCGCCCAAAGGCCCGACAGAGCCCAGCAATCACTCGCCAGATCACAGCTTAGCCACTAAGAAGAACTTACCCGCACACCCCGATGTTTTAAGGATACCATAGCGGCAGTCACGTTCAATATCACTTGATCAAGACTATAAGCTAGCTAGTAGTTTAACCACCACTAGCACCTGTGATGAGGATACACAACCAACAAACAAGACATCGAACGGATCTAGCCCAAGCTCTTTGATGACAAGAAATTCGAAGCTAGCTGAAACAACGATAAGGATTGTCTCTAATGGCAAATGACAATCCAGCATCTGAGTGGCTTTCTCAGATGCACCTCAGGGAAACCTGATTTTACCTGAGCGAGCATGTCTCAGAACGCCATCAAGAAGCAGGGGTCTTAATAGGCAATTATTTCATTCATGGATTTCTTGGGCCATTTTTGCATTCTTCGCGCTCTCAGCCGGAGTTGACACTCCTTCAAGCAAGGCTCGACACAAATCTCCTATCCGGTAATCTGAGCAAAGCCTGCTGAAATTTTTTCTTTCTTTTTACGCGTCTGTTATCAGGCTATCTGTGCAGAGATCGCGAGACCTTGGATTGATCTTGGCATGCTCAATTTCAACAATGGAACCACTTGTCGCTAAATTCTGCCGTTATACAGTACTGAGATGGCCCCATTCAGCTCCCCGACTTCAAACTTTGTCGATTGGGTAGTTTTCCCCGCAAGAAGGAAACGCAAACCGCTTCATGGAACAAAGACAGGGTCCTCATTGCATTCAAGTTGAGGGGGTTTTGTGGCTCCGACCTTCAAAAACCACCTCACAACCACCAGAGCGCCTCAACACCGGGCCGGCTCGGATGATGAGCGGAGCACCGAGCGGGCCCGTCCTTTGGGGAAGTCGCTGGGCAATGGAGCACCGTCAGGGGCTGGTAGCCAGCTTGACAGGGGAGGCGAAGCAGGGATAGCCTACGTAGACAACCTCTATTCTCGATTTTCGATATCGTCGTCACCCTGGAGGGACCAAGAAACTGTCAGCGCGGCGCCTTACCTCTTGTCCCCTCAACAACGCTGCGGCTGCACAACGATGGCTGGCCCCGCGCCTCGTGGTTGGGTCGTTCAAGAAGCCCGAAACCTTATTGGGAGGCTTTTTGCTTGGTGGCCTGACTGCCGTTCTTCTCTTTATGTTGTTTGTCGGCGCTGGTCGGGATGTTGTTGCGTTGCTCGCATGTCACAATCCTGGGAGACAATACTGCAGTCTGCAGGCGCCTGCTTCGGTCTCGATTCAGTTGGACTACCCGCTGCATTATTAGACCAGGGTACGAATTGAGAGAGGCGCATGCAGAGATACGACGCTGGGCTCATCTACGATCTTTGTATAGATCAGGCCTGGATGACTTTGAACTACTCTTTCTGACCGATTTCGGCCCGCCTGACACTGCCATAATTCACACCCAGTGCAATTGGTGTCGAGGCAAATTAAACTATGAGCTGACGAACATGTCTCTTCGACACGCTTCCCGTGACATCAAAAACAAGATCTTCTTGACCATCAGAGCCTTGATGGAATAGCTCACGATAGCAACTCACTATTAGCGCGCGATGGGTTGTCGATAGTGGGGTGGTTCCCGCTTTGACGATGGCCCCAGCCCGCACCAGTTATCCCTGCCTGACAACCGTGCATTCGTCGTTCCGTCCCATAATAAGAGCCGAGGCCACGGACCAGCTTCTGTTCACTCTTGTTGCGATTGTTTGTTATTAACCTCATTCGATCTCTAGCAATGGCGCAGGGAGAAAAGAGAGTTAAGCAGGCCTCAGATTCATTCAAGCCAGGCCTTCCGATACATACTTCTTTGCTATCGTCAAACTTCAGAGAGATCTTGATCCACCAATAAGGTGACATCTGAGCGGTAATGCATGTCTTTCCGTGGTATTCCCTATTCGAGACATGTCCGCTATGTCAAGCCGTGCAATCAGGAGAGTGCACCACAGCGCTTCGAGTTCCTGCATCCAACGTGGCGGATGTTAACTGACCTGAACGTGGCCATCGTAAAACAAGCACAGAATCGGCAGACGAATGATCCCGCTCCAAGTTGACCCTGACCCTGACTGCATTGCATGGGCACAATGCACATCGAGCGGTAGGGGGTGCTACGGTGATTTCCCAGGATATTTTGCTGGGCCATATCAAACTATATCAACTCGAGTATCATAACAATGGCTGTTATTTGTCTGGGACAAAGAACGCCCTAATGTTCCTAACATGACAGACGTGCCGGGTATAATACCAGAGTCAGAAGTGATTATCGAGAACCCTTCTATGTGATGGAAAAAGGAGTGTTGGATGCCGCTGATTGCCGTTGGTCTTGAAGAACCTTGGCCAGCTACTCAGTACCGTACCTGGAAACGTTGATACCGCCGTAAGCGACGGTAGAGCAGGATGATGTCTTCCACAATTCCAGCGAATAAGGCACTGCACCTGTTTCGTCATGTTCTTGAAAGGCGTTCTGGGGCGTTACATTGCCGAGTCGAAGATGCCAAAAATGGTAAGACGGGAACTTCAGCCATAGGCTGACGAATAATATTCATGGGGAGAGTCGCTGGAGGAAGACAATTCGCGGTCACTGCACATCTTGAACGATCAACTACAACCGCTCATGTACTTTACCTATTCTCAACGGAGCACAGGGTGATATTCTTATTTCCAATTCGGGATATTTCGCCCTGTCATATCTGATAAGGCCAAAGTTCAGTCCGTGCTATCAAAATACCCGTCAGCGTTGATCAACGCCTTTCGTTAACAACGGCTGTCACACCAGACTGCATACAACGCTCGTCCTACGATCAAGTTTTGGTGATTTCTACTGTTGCTGCCCTCGTTCTCGGCAATTGCGCGCACCTTACTGCCTGTCTCTAGAAATGATAGTTGTCAGTAATACGCTGCAAGTCTTTGGTCTACCGTTGTACATACACAGTGCCTTTCGCAATCACCCAACGACTCTTTTCCTGATATCATAGAAAATGATTCGTCATAAATTCAGGGTCAAGGTCACAATCGAGAGGCACACTGGGTTCTCTGGTCTAAGCCATTTTTGCTGACTCTTCTGGCAGCTAAACTCCTGACATGCTTGTGTGCCAAGGCAGTGAACAAAGTGCACTGTGGAAGGACCTGGCCTCAAGGTATCTGGACGGATTGTTCTTCGCGGATACCAGCCTTACCCCTGTACGAGGGCACAGACAGATTGATGGCTAATAAACCTTAGTACCCCTCCCCCGGACAGAAACTGGCTGACCAGAGCTGCAAATAGATCTTAAGATCCAGCAGAACACGGCAACCAAAATGGAAGATGCACTAATTCCCGGAGATGGTGCTCCATAAGCCAAACGGAGCATGACAGACCTGGCTGTTTATTGCAACTCTAGGTTCACATAAACACTTGTCACCGCTGATCAACGCAAGTACAGTAGTTGTTGGTGATGATGCTTAGATTGATTCGTCAGCCTCAGTGATCGCCCAAGCACTTCTGAGGCTGATTGGTAGTTGAGCCACAGTACCATGCAATCCTTCACGAGAGCGGATTACTGGACTCGTTCGCACACAGATTTTGAGTTAGCTTTTGAGTTATGATATGGGTTTCTCTGGCTGGTATCTGAATAGCAAAATTAACCATTGCTGCCATCAATGGTTGAAATGATATACGCGCGGAGTTCTTACGTTCACCGGCTGTGTTGGTGCGAGTGTGAGTGATTATCATCACACCAGGAACAGGGTTCTTGGAGAAAAAACAAGCAAAATAGTTCCACTACCTACCCGAGCACTTCGCATGGGAATCGCCCCAGGGTGAGTAGAGATACGGACGAGGATCTAACACCCCTGGGCATTCACTAGGCCATGAACACAGCATCATACCATCATCCACACGACATGAGTCGGCGCTGAGGCTTCTCCTCCGAAGCCTAAAGATGGTGGGTGTCGTCTTGATCGAATCTGGTTGTTGAGACTGTCAACAGTCTCCCTTTTGAGCCTTCACATGTGTCTGCGCCTTTGGGATAGAGACGACATCCTTGAACGCCATGGGCGGGAATGCACATCTTGTCGACTGTTGAAGGAGACAATTCCATAGGCTATTTGTTGGGCGAGTGAGCTTGGGGCCGGGGTAGGCTCATGCTCATGCACAACATGCTCGCTTTTGCGGATCCCAGAAGGAGGTAGAAATGGGGATATGGACCCATCCATCCATTCATATGTATTGGTGGTGTGGAGAAGCAAGGCATTTCTTAGTCGAACGTCAATATGATGTCGTCTTTGGTGAGCAATGCTGGAGGATTAAACCGTTAATGACTGAGTGATTGATTGATTAATTACTCACAGGCTACCGTACCCCCAGATCAACTATCGATTTGCTCAAGAGTTTTAGGAATAGTCTCGTCTCATGAGGGTTGCGTTGATACGAATCCGGATATCACTCAAGTCAACTCAGGGTCGTATTGATATTGTCGACGATACCCGTATTTAGGTCAACATGACCATGATAAGACATGAATGAACAGGGTAAGTTCAGAACCTTGAATAGAGTTTAAAAACATGAATATCCAATATTACAATAGCCTGCCTTATCTACGGTACACGACTTACATCAGATCAGCCCTGAGTCAAAGTCTGGGTCCAGGGTCCCAGGTGAGTGGAAGCCATTCAGCTCTCATCACAACTTTGCGCCCGTAGAGATGGGCTCTATCTTACAATCACCACAGCCTTAACAACTGACACCGCCTTTCTAGCAAGGACACTAAAACGGAACAACTTAAGCGCTGCGGACGAAATCGATGGAGTCGCAATCACCACGCGAGATCATCAATGCATGTCTCGGCGCCCATGCCCTCGAATTGTGAGTGGATTAGTACACTCCATCTCAAGATCTCAAGAGACTCCCGAAGGGGTTGCAACAAGAATCCGGATATATTTTCAGAACAAGACTAATATACAAAATAAACTGAAAAGGATATAGCCATAAGATTGCACAAGTTTACGACAAGGACCAACGCGTTTCCTTGACTCAGCTTGCCAGAAAACAGTTCATGCCTCATGGAAGAGCAAAGAGAGCTTGATTCCGGAGATTTCTTGAACCTTGTGACTCCTTTTGCCGGCTGTTTCGTAAGGCTGTCGATCTTTGTTTCGAAAAACCTGCTATCGAATAAGCTGATGCTCAAGATTGCAACCCCATACATCTTCGGGGTCTTGCCCCTTTCCTTCGTTTCGTACGCCGCAGCCACGGCAGCCACGGCAGTCCGTGGTCTGATTCCAATACATTTGCCAAGTGTCTCACAATCCTCACCGCAGAAGCAGCTGCTTTATTAGCAGCCACACAATGATCTTTGTCAAAACTATCCAGCCAGTCATATCATGAGATCTAGACAGTGCGCCGGATTTGGAAGCAAGGCAGGATGAAGATTGTCACCTATCAAGCAGCAGGAGGCTGAGGAAGGTGGTGCTGAGCACAGACTGCGCTGTCGAGAGGCTGCGTATGTTGGGAATTTGATATGTGATGGATGGACTGGACCCTAGGTCGGCTGACAAGCCATGTGATGCTCTTAGCTGCCCCCAAGCTTCCCACCAGTTGGACACCGGAATCTGTTGCTCGCCTCCAGCAATATTGGTTCCAGGTATGGCCGAGACCATGAAGCGGCGAAGAAAGTGCAACGCGTACTTTTTGATCGAACGCGACGCGTGCGAGGCTCAGCCAGCCTTGCTCTGTTCTGCTCCGAAAGGTGTGTGGGCATTCCCACTATGGTGTGCCAAGTTCACATGCTAACCATTACAAATAGGCTAGGCAGTCACCGGGTCCATTCGGATTCGCCTTCGCGTTCTGAGTGAGACATGGCATAAGAACCGGGCAAAATAATGGAATGCTCGGAGCATGAAGAGATCGCTCGTATTGACCTCTCTGACATTGCGTGTATCATGCTGCAGCCTATTCAGAGACGGCAGCATTATTGTTGGGGTTTCGTGAAGTCAACCCCCAAGATGTCGTCCATCCATGGCCCAACCTTTGCCGCATCACCATCGGCCATGCCAGCTTGGGAAAGCTGTGCGCTCCAGCTGGAGACGTTATAGATGGATGATGATGTGAGTGCTGACAGACCATCTTCTGATGCGGGAGATGATAGGCCTTCGGCTGTGAATTTGTCCACGACACCGTGTCTAGCTTCGAAACGAAGCCTGGTCTACGTTCCCGTTAGTTTTTTTGCCATATGCCTCTGCCAAGTGGTGTGTTACTCACATCAAAGTCCAGCTGAGGACGCTCCCGAGGGTCCTCCTCGTATGGGAAAGTTGAGAAGGTGAATTTGGGTGTCTGGCCGTAGATCCAGTCTCGCGACTGTAGTTCCTCGTACCCTTTGCTGATGCTATCCATCTCAAGTACCTTGTCACTGATCACCTCCCGGACATCGAAGTCGCCGTACATGCTTGCAAACTGTTCCACAACGGCAGCCTCGAAAGCAGCATTCTCGATGCCGACGTTTCGAACAGGGCTGCGGACACTGTCGACGCCACGAGTCTTGATGTACGGCTCAGCAGGTGAACGCAACATGCCTGAGATGTTGGTTAGGTTTGGGCTGCGGAGGAGACATGTTCCGTGGTGAAGAGATCGGAGACGAGTGAGTTTATACGCGGACCCGGAGATCTTGTAGGTGCCGATTGAATCATCAGGGATATCTACAACGATGTCGTGTCGCTCATTGACACGCGTATTTGGCTTTCCAAGAGAGGAGAGAGCTCCTACGACCATCTCGGCGTGCTTGTTCCGATCAAAGACTGCAGGAGGACAAATGACGCTAAAGTTGACATTTCCTTCATCATGAAAAACAGCGCCTCCCCCTGAACGACGACGGACAAGCTGCACTGGTCCACCAGTCCAACCTACACTTGCAGGATCATTACGGAACTGGGCTAGCCTTCGAAGATTCACTTCCATCCATGGATTCTGGTTTCGACCAAAGACAATACAGGGATCATTGGTGTAGAGGAAGAGTATGGTAGACTCCGGAGGTGTCTTCTGGAGAAGATGGTGCTCAACAGAGAGGTTCAAGAAGGGATCACGAGAAGTTGAAGTGTATACTTGGATCTTATTGGATGAATGAGATGCTGCATCGGTGAATTGGCGTCTTGATATGGTTGATAATGAGGGGAAATGTCGTGATATGCTTCGAGGCGTCGAGCCCAGAAAGGAGCGATTGGGCCGCATCATGATGGCAAGAGTCAATACCGGATTAGAATTCAAGAATTAATAGCATAAAGTCAAAGATCGACATGCAATTGGACCGGAAATACGGTGTTATCCAAGGCAATGGATGAAATTTGTTGTTGAAGCTACTTTGTCCAATGAGCAAGAGAGTTGAGGAAACAAACGTTCGGGTGTTGTCAGCCTCGGAGACGGAAAACCCCAATAGTAGTTGACCCACCGGACACCGAAAATAGGGCGCTGAGAGCCCTGTAAAATTTAGGGGCAGTTTCAATTTCGCAACGGACGGCAGCGGGTGCGGGAAACATCCAAACCAGTGAGATTGCTGTGCCTTGCAGAATATGGAAAGTGCCGAGTGAAGGAAGGTGTTGATTGATAATCTGGATCGAGATGTGTTTGACATGATGTTTTGTATCCGTTGAGATGGAGAATGTCCACTGAGGTACTGGGCTTTGGGTATCTGGCTTTAGTGGTATGCCCCTGAAGCGACAGCTATTAGCTCTGAAGTTACAGCGGAAGAGCGATTATCCAGACTTTTTGGAATCAGACCAGATGCATGGATGAACATCAATTGAGTCACAGCAGCAGCGCCCCGATGTCGCTTGATGACAGGTATTTAACACCATCCTCCAGGGTTATCGGATAGCTCATAGTTTTTATCTAATAACTTAGCGTCTATTCTACAAGAGTTGATAATTCTTGGGGATCTTCTGAGTCCATCAATCGAGGTTGTCTTAACTGGCCAATCAGATCTCTACCAAAACATCTACCGTATTGCCCCTCCCCCGCGCTTTCCAAACGCACAAAATTTTGGACCGAAATCGGCAGGAACGAAGTCCCCCGTCCAGAACAGCCTCATATCTTTCCATTCTCAACGGCCGCCATCTTTCTTCTTCCTCCGTAAACAAACAACTCATCAACCAACACTTTATCTCCCCCATCATCAACACAATCATCCACACAATACAATCATCATGTCCAGCATTGGGCAAATCTTCCGCGTGACGACGTAGGTCCTATTTCTTCCTGCCCTTCCATGCTCTACCCCACCATCGACAAACAGTCCAGCTAACAATCCTCTCTTTGTCTTGCAGTGCTGGCGAGTCACATGGGAGAGCTATCTCGTGTATCATCGATGGCTGCCCTCCCGGCCTGGGCCTCACAGAGGCCGATATCCAGCCTCAGCTGAACCGTCGTCGACCAGGTCAATCGGCCATCACCACGCCTCGTAACGAGAAGGACCGCGTCACCATTAACTCTGGCACTGAAAATGGCGTCACTCTCGGAACACCGATTTTATTGACCGTCCCCAATGAGGATCAGCGACCAAAGGACTACGGTGATAAGACCATCGACATGTACCCCCGTCCCAGCCATGCAGACTGGACCTACCTCGAGAAGTACGGTGTTAAGGCCTCGTCAGGCGGTGGCCGCAGCTCTGCACGTGAGACTATTGCTCGAGTGGCCGCTGGTGCTGTTGCCGAGAAGTGGCTCAAGGAGACCTACAACATTGAGATTGTTGCCTTTGTCAGCTCCGTCGGAACTATCAAACTCTTTGCTGATACAGAGGCCATGAGCACCGATCCTGCCTTCCTCAGTCTCGCCGAGACTCTCACCCGCGAACAAGTTGACGACAATCTTCCTGTCCGATGCCCCGATGACGCCATTGGCCGAGCCATGGAGGCTCGCATTGCAGAGCTGCGCGACGAGCACGACAGCACTGGCGGAACAGTCACCTGTATTATCCGCAATGTGCCCTCTGGTCTCGGCGAGCCCTGCTTCGACAAGCTCCAGGCTAGTCTCGCCCACGGTGTGATGTCTATTCCCGCTGTCAAGGGTTTTGAGTATGGTTCCGGTTTCCACGGTGCTGAGATGACTGGCAGCAAGCATAACGATCCTTTCGTGCCAGCACCTGCCCTCGACGCCGCCACCGAGAGGACAGGCATTCCTCGCTCCAGGCTTCAAACGAAGACGAACCATTCCGGCGGTATTCAGGGTGGCATCAGCAATGGCATGCCCATCTTCTTCAGAGTCGCTTTCAAGCCTCCTGCCACCATCAGCCAGGACCAGACCACAGCACTTTACGATGGCTCAGGCGAGGGTGTTCTTGCTGCTAAGGGAAGACACGACCCCTGCGTTGTGCCTCGCGCTGTTCCTATCGTTGAGGGAATGGCGGCGATCATGGTGGCCGATGCTCTCATGCAACAGAATGCGAGAAAGCTGTCTACAGTTGTTCAAAAACCTTAGGATGGTAATGGTAACACGAATGACAAGGAGAACGGCAAGGAGAATGGCAAGGAAAACGAGATGATCGCAGTGCATTAGATACCAAAACGCAGAGTATGAGACGGGGTTTTTATTGACATGAGGGGATGACGACTTTAGACTATTCTTAACTTATCTTTAGCTTTTCAATCCGAAGACTTGAGTAATACTTAAATAATGCTCTTGACGTGTGTGAATGTATATCCTGACAAGATGCTTCTACGATCTAAACCTTGGTTTTTGATCCTAAGACTTGTATCAATGTTTCTCCTAGACTGCTATAATATTCTTATGAGTTGTTTGCAAGTTCTTTGTAGCTTTGTATGAATTCAGAGAAAGCTAGTAGATAGCTGGGGGATATTCTCTTTTCCTCAAAAGTGCCACATCATCATAGAACACATACGAGTATAGTAATAATTCTTTTCATGTATTTCTTCCTATACCCCTCGTATATGAACAAGCCAATGCCTCGCAACCCTTCCAATTCGAAAATATCACAACGCCGTAATGCATCAACTCCCCTGAACAATACCACGTCTATGCTTGGGGGTCCAGGGGTGTGGGTATCATGGCCTTTCTGAGACACAAAAAAAACTCCAAAGAAAAAGACCCCTGATCCAATCGCGCCTTCTATCTTATCTTGTACTTTTAATGCTTGTTTTTACTCTTCTCCTGATTGAGTTGCAGCTGATTCGCTCTCCGTCTCGGCTGTGGGCTTACTTCGAGCTGAGTCTCCATCTCGAGCCATCAGCATATCTTTTTCGGCTTGAATAGCCTTTTCTCTTCGTTGCTCAACGTCTTCTCGGCGAATAACCTTTCGTAAGCCCTCGCTTGCCTGGAGAAGACCGTCGATGCTGATGGCGTGCTCTGTCATTTGATGGCTGATATATGTGTAAATTCCGGCAGGTGTGTTGCATTGCAGGAGGTTTCCTTCGTTGAGCTTGAGGAGGGCGAGGGCAACTTGGAAGAGAAATGTGCTGCCGTCGTTGGTGCAGAGGACGACGTCCCAGACGCGGAAGAGAGCCTCGGCGCTTAGACAGTCGGTAAATACGGAGAGGAACCATTGGAAAGTCAAGGCCTCGAGCTCAATAGATAGAGAGTCGAGATGTGCCGAGAGCTTGGGAAGAATTGCCGAAACATACTGTCGCAGGACCTGTTGATCCGCACGGGATGCCATGAGCGAATGGTCGTAATAACCGTGCGGAAGGATATTCTCGATAATTGAAGTAAGAATCCAAAATGCATCCTCAGCAGAGGGCATCATGAGCAACAAGTTGGCAGCAATCAAATTCATTCCCTGGCAGTACCCCACATCTTTGTTGCGTCTAGAGTACGCCAACAATACTTCGTTCAGCTTCTTGACACCAGGTCCCTTACGGAAGAAGATGTTGTCCGTCAAAGTTCTGTTGATGTCCATCTGAATCTGACTAACAACAACGGCGTCGTCGTCCTCGCCAGTCTGAGCGACCAAGTCTTCATAATAGCCAGGGACACGAAGGGCTGTGGCTCCTGAACACTCTGACCACACCTTGGCGCGATAGGTAACAGGAATACCGCCCAAAACCAGGGTCTTGAATTCGTTCCATTTAGCTCGTCCAACCTTTCCCTTGACACCGAGTCCTGAAACTCCAATCATCTCACCATCGGCAACGCGGGTTTCAGGAAGGATCATGGCTGGTTGTTCGTAGCGAGCGTCGGCGGCGGATCTGGCGGCAGCAATAGCGGCCTCACCCTCTCGCTTGCGTTCGGCGCGAACCTTTCGAAGGAAATCGTTCCATCGTACTGTCTTTTCACGCTGAAGAGCATCGTGAACATCGCTCAACTGCTGCAGGAGCAGCTTGACAGGCTCGGTATCGTCCTTGGTGAGTGCGATGGATGACTCTGACTGAGAAGGCTGAGAGGTCTCACTGTCTACTGCAGTAGTTGTGCTAGCCGAAGGAATAAGACCAGAGTCAGTTGAAACTATTACTGGCTTGACAGGCTCGGTGGGGTATAGCTCTGGCTCGGGTGTCTGAGCTCCCTCCATGACCTGGATTGAAGGTATCGCGATGCTAGGCGTGTGACTGAGGAGCTCCGTGGGGAACGTTGCGATTTTCAGATAATCCGTCCATCTCTTAGCTTTGCCCTCTTCCGCGTTGCGCTCCTCCATGCTGTTCAGACTCTCAGGACGTCCCTCGCTCGACACACTTCCCTTAGGGCTGGGAAGGTCCTCTAATGCGTTAGGTGAAATCCCACCTCGACCATTTGCCAGCATCTCTGTACGACTACCCTTACGAATATGTCGAGCCACCTGCGCCGCCTCGCGCTGTCGTTTCTTGCGTCGCTGGTCGTATATGAACCCAAACCGGTCAGTCAGATATTCGCTGTTCGGAAAGTTGTTATAAATATGTGTTAATGTCGGTGGCTGTGACTCTGGTGATCGAATAGCATCCATCTCCACAGGCCCATAGCTCTCTTGTCGAGATGATAAGTTATCCGGAGGACTGCCTCGCATACTATCCCATGCCTCTTGCCCTTGTGATCTGCCTGATCCTTGGGCAGATGGTCCTGGAGTCGCTCTACGCATTGCCATCAAAGCCTTAGGACCACCAGCGATCGACACTGCTCGAGACTGACCTGCGCGACTGCTTGTAGTCGAAACAGCCCTAAGAGAGCCACCCTTATTGGAAGTAGTGCTTGTAGCACGGCCTCGCGACTCAGCCTCGCGTGTACTTATAGCTCCACCCGCCACCAAACGAAGGGCCATGCTTGCGAGCGATGACGATGCTTTGCGCTCACCAATTGCGCCTGATTGAGCACTTGACGCACGGCTTGGGCTTCGAGTAGATTGCGTGTCTGGCGGGTTGAAGAGGTCCTCCTGCAGCGTTGGTCGTCGGTCCATACTAGAGTGTGATCGAATCACAGTCGCAGGGTTTACTCCTTCGCCGTTCATGCTGTTGGTACGGCTGCCTCGCTTTGCGGTTCCAGAACCCCAGAGATAATCTTTCCACCCCTTCAACGTGCCCTTGCCGCTGCCGTTCTCGCTAGGGTTGCTGAAAGACTGGCTGCTTGCGCGGATGGTAGAGCCCTTAGCGACTGTCTCGCCGTACGCAGTAGCCACTACGGTGTCTTGCATCGCATCACTCATGAGGTCGCTTAAACCAGTATCCTCTCTCCGAAGTCCCTTGTTGGCCGCGCGTAGCTCAGCCTCAACAGTTCGTAGGCGAGTTTCAAGATCCAGGTTAGACAGACCACACTCTCGAATGATCTTGCGCAGAGCACGTTCTCGTTCATCAGCGCGGCGGCGCATATTGGCGATCTGGGCATCTCGTTGTGCGAGGTCTTCGGATATTTGTCTGATCAGTCCAATGGCGCCGTGCCGCGAGATCAAGCGTTGAAGATGTTCGTCATCGGCGTTATGTAACGAGCCCGGCACCTTGCGCACCGGATGATCCTCTTCGAACAAGGCACTTCGCACATCTGAGCTTCCAGTCAGATCAACTATTGAACTGCGCCCAACATCCGGAGCAGCAACCGGAGGAACGGGGGTATCGTCGGGAGCATCGTCTTGACCGCTGAGGGGATCATTGCCTGGGCTTTCAGGTGAGAAACTAGGAAAGCTCGTGAGACTCTTGTCGCTAGCAGCAATACTACTCGCAGAGCTAACAGGCTGACTGGGACGTTTCCGACCACGAGGGCCTCTGACGGTTGCGCTTCGGTTGCTTCTCGAGCTCCGGTTCGAGGTGTGGGATACGTGAGAGGCGTGTGACGCATATGAGGCGCTGCTGTGTTGGGAGACGGACCTTTGGAGTGACGACATATTGTCGGCCGCTTCCATGGCCGTCGCCATAGCTGAAGAGATAATCGTATTGGGTTTATGCTTGTCTAGGGACAAGTCAGGTAAGATGTTGAGAGAAAAGATGAAGAGGAGGAGAACGAGAGAAAGAGGAGAGCAATCAATCGATCAATCAATCAATAATGAAGGGTGTGGGTTGCACAGACGAGGGAGGGTGTGCGATCGAAAAGGCAACCGAGGGGCTTGTACTAGGTACATGTGCATTTGCATGAGGATGAATGGAAGCTGTTGATATGATATTAGGTAAGATATCACTGTATTCATAGAATTGCGATGGAGAAGCTGGAAGCAGCTTTGAATCAGAGAAACATTCAAAGGAAATCATTAAAAAATATTTTGTTGTCTTTGTAACCATTGAAAAATGTCTTAAAATTACTCTCTTTGAAGAAAGAGTCAGAGCAGCCAAACTATGCCTCTTCAAAGTATCTGTACTTGTAACCCCCAGCAATTAGGTTAAGTGCTTTATGCCCTTTTAGGTCGTCCGGGCTTGTTGCTCCTCCGCAAGACTGATTGGCCTCCAGGGCAACTTTCTATCAGTTTTAGGGAGCCCAAGTCGCCCTACCGCACCAACCCGCCCTGAATTTCTAGCAAGCATTGATGGATGATACCGAACCGAAAAGAAGCGATAACCCAACGTCAAGATGAAAAGGACATTGATAGACAAATAATTTCCCTAATTCACAACGACGCCAAGATGACTCCTTTGTTCTAACAAACACACTATTTCCCTATCAACCTCTTATATCAAAAGGGTACCTGACGCCCGTCTCCACGGTTGGGTTTCCCTTTTCTTCAAGCCCAACGAAGAAAAAACAAAGCTTGTTATTTTACTACAAAACAACCAGTGCTAAAAGCTGAGCTCAGACATGATCACTTATAAGCTCGTGCACATGAGATAGATTTCATCTCCAGGGCCATCCTAGCTAGACTACGCCTGGCCAACAGCCCGAAGATTCCCGCACCCTGGACAATTCCAGAACATTTCATACCCCAGCCCAGCAAGGATGTTAATGTCTGACTCGTCAGTAAAACACATGTGGCTTGTTTCTTATGAAAGAAAAGAAAAGAAAAGAAAAGAGTCACAAATGTTTGTTATGTCTTGTATCACGCGACCATTGTCCAGCTTTGAGGGCTTGAATAAGCTTGG